TAAAGCCAGCATTCACGCTCGGAACGCCTTCTGAATTTTCGACGGATTCTAAAAGAGAAATACAAACGATGGTTGAGGTTCAAATTTCCCGGCTCAAATGCCATTCCTGGCCAAGAAAATCGCTTCATAAAACTCGTCCTCGATCTCGCGGACGAGTTTTCTATTTCGTCGTGTGCTTTCATATTGCAGTCGTCTACCGCCTTAAGCGCGATGACATGGAAGAGACTTTCAATCTTACTCGTATTCAGGGGTTATAATGCTCTAACTAACGTGGGGAGCTAGTTATACAACTCGTCAACAAAATCACGGACGAGACTTCTGGAGAGATTTTCTTGGTCAAGAATGACTCTTGAGGCGAGAAATTTGAACCTCAACCATTTTTTTGAGTTCATCTTTGAGAATCCGTCGAGAACTCAGAAGGCGTTCCGAGCTTGGATGATGCCTTTAAACTGTGGAGATTATTGTACCGACCGGACTCAATTTTTCATTCTGCATATCCGGTACGTCCTTATTCACGATGGCGCTGCAAAGTGGCGCCAAGAACATCGTAACTCTGCAGCTCAACCCGGTTTTTTTTGAGGGTTTAGATGTAAAGAAATACAACTACGGCATGGTATAGAGAAGGTACTGAGAAGCTAGCTCCTGTTCGCTGCGTATGGAAATCGATTGCCTTTAAAAACTTGAAGCTTCTTTTTTGTTAAGGCAGCTTTAGTCGCATTCGTAGCACTGCTTTCATACTCATCAGCAGTTCCGTCATCGAAATCAGCGACTAAGCTCTGTGGGTGCGTCTGCAAACTTGCGCGAGCACCGGCGTCATCTGGCCGCACGGTTTTTGGCCTATGGAGGTCGTAGTGAGTAGAAAACAGGTAGGATATGAAGAGATCGAGACTAAACAAGCTTCACAACACCAACATTTTGTGGTCGTGTCCAATACGTCTTACTGGACTTCCCATGTTGATGTTCCACGGGTGATGAACAAGTACAAGTTCTCGAGTGTTACCCCTTATGCTCACTTCCAAGTTGCCAAGTTCAATCGATTCAGTGGAATTTTCCGTCTTATTGATCGTAGACAATATCGTCCTCGTCGCTAGACGGCAGACGAAGAAATAGTGCACAGGCGACAAACGACGCAGACGACTAGCGGATTCTCCCATAGGACTTCGTGAGAAAAGTGGGCGGACGTAAGGAATCGACCAATCACAGGCGCGCTATCTGTTCGAACATGTGAGAATAGCGTGAGAAAAGTAGGCGGACGTAAGCCCAACCGGATTTCATCAATAGAATGGCGCATTCTTGCTCGACATATTCGCTAAGATGTTGTCAAAAGTAGAGTTGGAGCTAAAGAAGCGTCCGGAACCCAGAAGGAGTTTCACGGAGACCAGGGTGGGCCAATTTTGCCACCATTCGTCCTTTGGAGCGGATAGACTTGTAATATCCTTCCAGCAGACGAAGATCGAGCTGGAGCTGAAGGATCCGCAGCGTGGGCGCGAGAAGGACGTCAATCTGATTTTCACGGATTCTTGGGTAAGTGTCCAAAGCTCCTCGATAATGTAAACAGGTAAAGTAAAATAGACAGACATGGAATATAGAATGAGCGCAGTTACGACACAATGACACTTCTTTCATAATGCGGAACAGGGCCGGTATAACCATTGCAGGAATCTGCAACCTTCCTTACTGAAAAAAATGCGCTAGATGAGCTAATTCTGAGCCAGACGCTTGGGATTTACTACTCTTGCTACGAGCTAACGTGTTCAATTTCACGCATCAAAGCTTGAAGAGCTAGGTCATCACGGCCGTATGGCTCAGGAGCAGAGCGTCTGCCCAGTAAGCATACAGGCGCTGGTTCGATCCCGGCACGAGGCATTGATCTCACACTGGAACGAACCGGTGTAAAACCACCTCTGGCATTACTCCACTTTCGAGGGCCCGGAAGTCGAAAATCTCAGATTCCGCTGAAACTTCGCCCAGAGGGGTTATCTAGGTCGCCGCTGGTCACGAAAATTATAATCAATTTGTGCCATACCATAGTCCTACCGTAGCCCCACTTCGTAGGGTTACGGTAGGACTGTGGAAGGGCGTCAAGATCTAGAGAATCGCCTCAAGACTTGTGTACTGAGGTTGTTTGGGAAGCTGAGCATGAAAATTGTATCCGTTTCATACAGTAGCGCCTTACAGTGAGTTGCGGTAGGATTTGCGGTTACGGTATTTGGGAAACCGATTCAGAATCTACTTCAAATTTACTAGGAAGGGGTTATTTGAGACGCTGAGAGCAGCG